TCATCCCTCGTAGTGTCTTCCATCTGCGTTGGACCTGAGCAACATAACTCCAACATAATCGTGATCCTCCTCTCCTCCACGTGCACGGGTTCCCTTCCTCCCCTCAACCTTCCCTTCTTCATTCCACCATCTTCTGTCTCTTCCTCCGCTTCCTCGTCCTCCTCCTCGTTCTATCCCATCGTTCCCTGGCATCATCTCGTCCTCTATCCTTCTCCCCGTTCTCATCCCTCGTAGTGTCTTCCACCTGCGTTGGACCTGAGCAGCATAACGTCAACAGAATCGTAATCCTCCTCTCCTCCATGTCCACGTGTTCCCTTCCTCCCAATACACCTTCCCTTCGTCATTCCGTCTTCCTCGTTCTCTTCCTCCTCTTCCTCGTCCTCCTCCGCGTCCTCGTCCTACCCCATCGCTCCCCGACATCATCTAGTCGTATATCCGTCTCCCCGTTATCATCCCTCGTGGTGTCTTCCAGCTGCAATGGACCTGAGCAACATAACTCCAACAGAATCGTAATCCTCCTCTCCTCCACGTCCACGTGTTCCCGTCCTCCCGATACACCTTCCCTTCGTCATTCCAGCCTCCTCTTGCGCGTCCTACTCTTCCTCGTCCTCCTCCTCGTCCTCTCCCTATCCCATCGTTACTCGACATCATCTCGTCCTCTATCCGTCTCCCCGTGCCCATCCCTCGTAGTGGCTTCCATCTGCGGTGGACATGAGCAGCATAACTCCAACAGAATCGTAACCCTCCTCTCCTCCACGTCCACGGTTTCCTTCCTCCCTATACACCTTCCCTTCTTTATTCCATCCTCCTCGTCCTCGCTCTCCTCTTCTTCGTCCTCATCCTCGTCCTCTCCCTATCCCATCGGTCGCCGACATCATCTCGTCCTCTATCCTCCTCCCCGTTCTCATCCCTCGTAGTGGCTTCCATCTGCGTTGGACCTGAGCAGCATAACTCCAACAAAATTGTAATCCACCCTTCCTCCACGTCCACGGGTTCCCTTCCTCCCAATACACCTTCCCTTCGTCATTCCATCCTCCGCTGTCTCTTCCTCCTCTTCCTCGTCCTCCTCCTCGTCCTCTTGATACCCCATCGTTTCCCTGCATCATCTCGTCCTCGATCCGTCTCCCCGTTCTCATCCCTCGTAGTGTCTTCCATCTGCGTTGGACCTGAGCAACATAACTCCAACAGAATCGTAAGCCTCCTCTTCTCCACGTCCACGGGTTCCCTTCCTCCCAATACACATTCCCTTCTTCAATCCATCCTCCTCGTCCTCGTTCTCCTCTTCCTCGTCCTCATCCTCGTCCTCGTCGCATCTCATCGTTCCCCGACACCATCTCGTCCTCTATCCGTCTCCCCGTTCTCATCCCTCGTAGTGTCTTCCATCTGCGTTGGACCTGAGCAGCATAACTCGAACAGAGTCGTAATCCTCCTCCCCTCCACGTCCACGTGTTCCCTTCCTCCCGATACACCTTCCCTTCGTCATTCCATCCTCCTCTGTCTCTTCCTACTCTTCATCGTCCTCCTTCTCGTCCTCTCCCTATCCCATCGTTCCCCGACATCATCTCGTCCTCTATCCTTCTCCCGATCTCATCCCTCGTAGTTTCTTCCATCTGCGGTGGACCTGAACAACATAACTCCAACATAATCGTAATCCACCTCTCCTCCTTGTCCACGGGTTCACTTCCTCCCAATACACCTTCCCGTCTTCAATCCATCCTCCTCTGTCTCTTCCTACTCTTCCTCGTCCTCTCCCTATCCCATCGTTCCCCAACATCATCTCGTCCTCTATCCGTCTCCCCGTGCTCATCCTTCGTAGTGTCGTCCATCTGCGGTGGACCTGAGCAGCCTAACTCCAACATAATCGTAATACTCCTCTCCTCCACGTCCACGGGTTCCCTTCCTCCCAATACACTTCCCTTCTTCAATCAATCCTCCTCTTTCTCTTCCAACTCTTCCTCGTCATCCTCCTCGTCCTCTCCCTATCCCATCGTTCCCCAACATCATCTCGTCCTCTATCCGTCTCCCCGTCCTCATCCCTCGTAATGTCTTCCATCTGCGTTGGACCTGAGCAGCATAACTCCAACATAATCGTAACCCGCCTCTCCTCCACGTCCACGGGCTCCCTTCCTCCCAATCCACCTTCCCGTCTTCATTCCATCCTCCTCTTGCTCTTCCTACTCCTCCTCGTCCTCCTCCTCGTCCTCTTCCTATCCCTTCGTTCCCCGACATCATCTCGTCCTCTATCCTTCTCCCCGTTCTCATCCCTCGTAGTGTCTTCCATCTGCGTTGGACCTGAGCAGCATAACTCCAACATAATCGTAATCCGCCTCTCCTCCACGTCCACGGGTTCACTTCCTCCCAATACACCTTCCCTTCTTCATTCCAACCTCCGCTGTCTCTTCCTACTCTTCCTCGTCCTCCTCCTCGTCCTCTCCCTATCCTGTTGTTCCCCGACTTCATCTCGTCCTCTATCCTTCTCCCGATCTCATCCCTCGTAGTGTCTTTCATCTGCGTTGGACCTGAACAGCATAACTCCAACAGAATCGTAATCCTCCTCTCCTCCACGTCCACGGGTTCTCCCTCCTCCCCTCCTCCTCCTCCTCCTCCTCCTCCTCCTCCTCCTCCTCGTCCTCCTCCTCCTCCTCCTCCTCCTCCTCCTCCTCCTCCTCCTCCTCCTCCTCCTCCTCCCCCCCTCCTCATCCACGTCCTCATTCCCTTCCCAAGGTGACATGGCTGAACTGTCGAAACAACAACTGTATCAATTAAACTTGCGTCGCCGGCTGTCCGTTGATCGTCGTCGTCCGCTCTTCGTCGCCATCTTCGTCGTCGTTGCTCGTTGTCGAGCTTGTCACTTGACTCCTCCTACTCCTCCACCGTCTTGGTCTTTCTCTCCTCCTGCTGCTTCACCCTGCTCATCCTCCGTCTTCCCCTCCTAATTTGCCTCCCTTTACATATGCGGCTGAACTTATTCATCACACTGGATTCGCAATGAATGCGACTCGGCAGACTCGGCGAAGCAAGCGGAGTAGCACCTATCTCCCGTGGAAGCGCACCCAATGCGAAAGCACTACCAGCTGGCACGACGCTCCCAATCCTTTACTGACCTAGCATATTGTAAGGCCACAGGGGTGCCGAAACTCCCGAACATTAGGGATGCGCGGTAAGGATGCAAAGGCCTTGGACGCCCATGCCGAGGTTCTTCGAGCGGGGCTGGCCATCGAAAGTGGTTGAAGATGGACCGAAGATCACCGAAGAAGCAAGAACGCAAGGATACCCTGAGGAAATCGGTCATCCTTACTATGCGGGTTGACAGTATGCCTCCAACCGTGTGTCACGCATATTGGAACGGATGGAAGATTCATCGGCCCTGGAACAATATGGAACCTTGGTCACGGCGGCGCGCAGTTTGCTCCCCTGCGCGTCATGCCCCTTGGGCGCGTTCCAAGCTTTAGCCTCGAACATCTGATTGACGACCTCGTTGCGTAATTTCCTGAGCCTACCCACTCTCTATTCCGCCGCCTGGGCTGTGCCTGCCCTTCCTGCTCTGGATTCTTACGGCACGGCGCACGCCGTCATGCCCAGAAAACGACGCGCCTCGCGATGGTCCTCTGGGTTCGTGGGCCGACCTTCATGCGAACTCAGCCCCAGACCATCTCGACGGATGTCAACATTAGCATTATCACCACCATCGTCATGGCTGTGACATCATCATAGACATCACCACGGGCCCTGGTCAGATGGAACAATGAAACATAGGTCGTAAGCAATTTCTCCCATGCCATTTGGCCCCTTTCGCCGCGCATCACCTCTTGCGCACGCTCCAGGCCAAGCCTCGACCATTCCATTCGCGGCCGCGGCCCCCTGACGGTCCACGATTTCATTGCGCGCCTTCCTGAACCTTTACCCCGCGGCATGCTTTCCTGGGGTCTGGGCCTGGCCTGTCTTCGCCACTGTCTTGATCCAGGAGGCGCACGTCGTTCTACCAAGGAGAAGCCGCGTCTCTCGCAGGTCCCCCTGGTCCATGGACCCGAGCTTCTTCCGAAACCAGCCCCAGAACATCTCGACTGGGTACACTATCACCACCACCATCATAATCACCATGACATCATGATAAACATAACCGCGTGTCCTGACCATACGAAATAACAATTAAAGACGGGTCGCAAATCGTTGTTATCCATCGCCTTGACGGAAATTGTCATCACTCAGGGTTCGCAATCACTGCAATTCGGCGGAGTAGGCGGAGTATGATCTACTCCGCGTGGATGCACATCCCATGCGATGACAAGTACGACATAATTCCTGGTCCCTCTTTGAACTGACGAAACCCAAAACTAGAATTGGACGACACTACTCCGCCGAACGCCGCTAGCCGTATGTCATGTAAATGAACATATCGCGCGAGATTGGAGACTCGTCGAACAAATGATGAAACGTTCGCCATGGCGGTGTACTCCCTCCTGCTCCTCATCCTTTTTCTCCGTCCTCTCCCCATCCCCTGGTTCCCTCTGGCGATCCTCACTCTTTTTCGCCCTCATTCCTTGATTATCCCTCCTCTCCCTCTGCTCCTCCTCCTCCTCCTCATCATCTGCATTCCCACCCTCCTCCTTTCAATTGAATATTCGTCCATCCCCGCCTCCTCAGCACCCATTCGATCTTCTGCATTCTGCCTCGCCCTCCTTCCTCCTCGTCCCTTCTCCTCCTCCTAGCTCCTCCTCCTCCGCCTACCTGTCAGCCTGCCACCTCCTACTCCTCCTCCTCATCCTTCTCCTCCTCCTCCTCCTTCTCCTCCTGCTCTAAACCCCTCCACGTCCTCATCCATTCACGTCCTCCTCCATGCACTCCACTCCCTCATCCTCCATCCTCCTCTTCCTCGTGCATGCCATTCTCCTCCTCGTGTAGCAGCAGCATGCCTGTGCCTACACTGCCCAGAAACATCTATCTCAACTCCTGCACAGAGCAGCCTCTGGCCGGTCGGCGCGGGGGGGCGGGGGAGGGTCCTCGGAGATCTCGCAGTGGCCTGGCAAGCAGAAGTGCAGAATGTTGGCCGTCGACCCCTGGCCACTCCCGGGCGCAGGGGCTGCCGTCCACCGCGCCGGGCCTCTCGGCCCCGGAACCCAAATCCCCCCCAGCACGGCCGTGAACCAAACAATCCGGGGCTGCTCTACAACTCCGGGGGCACCCCCCACTCTGGGCCCGCAAAACCTTCAGAGAACAGCTCGGGTCGAGCAGCCAGCCCTGGGAAGCGGGTCGGCCCACCCATAAAGCGAGCGCGTGCAGTGCGTGCGAGGCCGCAAGAGACCCTCGCAAGAGACCCAACCCCGAAAACCCGCGCGCGAGGGGCACCTGAGGGGACACCCGGAGCACCCGGAACGAAGCAGCTTCTCTGGCGGCCGTGGGGAGCCACCGCGCAGCGCGTGGAGCGAAGAAGGCAAAGGGTACCCTGCCGAAAAGCACACGAACGACGATCAAAAGCGGGTCTCACGCGAGAAGGTACAGCGACCTTACGCGGTGGCTTGCGCGGGCCACAGGCGCTGCACGCCGCATCGGAGACGAGGGCGCTTACGCGGGGAGCTTACGCGCCATGTCGGCGCAATTGGACCCGTTTTTCTCTCGTCGCCCACATGGTTCTTAATGCGCGCCCACACTGTCACGAGTTGAGAAATCTGCGTGAGAAACGGATCGACGGTCGAGGTTCGAGGTGTTGGGTACCCCTGTTGCCACTGGTGGGCACTGAGGGGCATCTGAGGCCCCCTCGGCTGGCCCCAGGACGCTGCCGTCGTGGTCGCTTGGCCCCTCGACCCCAGACCTGTGCGGGCAGCGGGGTGAAGCATTGAGGATCGAAGATCGTGTTTTGTTGTTGGCTTGATTGTTGTTGCGCACGTCCGCGGTTCCTGATGGTCTCTGGTGTTCCACTTGGACCTGAAGATCTGGCCCGAACGGTCCCAAGACATGTTTTGCGACCGATTTCGATTCCCGAGCCAAGACTCCCAACGACTTGAACAAATCAAAACAGTTGCTGTTTTACCACGTTCAGCCCCTGGCCAGGGGCGAAAACAAACAAGCCCCCGAAGGGGTCGAGGGCTCCAGGCTCCTGTTGAAGAAAACAGGAACCAGACATCGGAGGCCTGAAGGGCGTGTCTGGGAATATCAATCACCGTGCCACGAGGCATTGAAGGGAATGCTCTTAAAGCTTGAGCCATCTACACAGAATCCGCCACCGTGCCTCTGGCGCGAAGTGGAGTGCCCCAAGGCTCATGCAGCACTGAGAGCGAGAGTGCTGCTTCTGCAGAGAGAATTGGGAGTCTGTAAGGGCCCAGACCAATGGTGTTCCTAGCATTCGCGGGGTTTCCCGGGCAGGCTCCTGTGAGTTCTGATAGTATGTTTCCTGCGCGTCCTGTGGACGCTGTGCCCCCCCCAAAGCGACCTCCCGAACCCTCCCATGAGTTCAAGACGGCCCCGAGTCGCCGAACGATCCTTCCAAGACGCCCGAGGTGGCCTCAAGATTTCCCAAGAGGCATCCAAGGCGCCACAAGAGGCCTTTAAGAGGCCTCCCAAGAGGACGAGGCACAAGTCACGTAGTTTCCGTTGGTTTTTGATGGCTGTTTGAGTTCTCGCCTTTTCGACGTTCCGACGCTCGAGGACGGCCCAAGAGGCCCCCAAGACGCCTCAAAATGGCACAAGCGGCACTCAAGAGGGCCCACAGACGACCGAAGAAGGCCCCGAGACGGCCCCAGGAGCATCGAGAGGGCCTAAGAGGGACCCAAGAGAGCCTCAGGAGGGGAAGCTCGAGCTGACATTTCGCGCCCTCCGCCCCAACATGACCCCCGAGACTGCAAGCAGACCGAAGTTGAAGGGAAACTGGGACACACAAATAAATACACACAAATAAAAGGATTCCCCATATTTTCCTATATTTTCTGGATTTTTGTCTTCCCCCCCGCTTCCCATATTTTCCCATATTTTCTGGGAATCGCAGATTAATTGTGTCTGTGTGTTTTTGTTTCCCTCCTGAGAAGTGGCTACCCAAAACCCAAAGAACCTCTCGAGAGACCCGAGCCATGCCCCCAGAGGCACCCGCGACGCCCCCTAAGAGACCCCAAAAACACCGCCGAGACCGCCGCCACGGCTCCAACAGGCGCCCGAGAAGCCTTCACTGAGATCCCCGCAAGCATCCAACAAGCCTCTGACATTTTTTTTTCCAACGCAATTTTGAGAGGAGAAGGAGGAAAGCTGAGGGGAATGAAAGCGCGAAGCACGATGCAGAACAATTGCCTCGATTGCACACTGGACCGGCTCAACTCTGACATACAACCCAGGTGCGGTAGCGGGATGAGCCGAGCTGTGTGCCTGTGCGTGCATAGGTCCATGTTCAGACGTCTGTATATATATATAGGCATAGACATACACGAAGCCAGACCAGCTAGCACCAGGCGCGCACGAACTTCCCGCCCGCGCGCTCCGCAACACAGAAGAGGCAACGTAACAGATATCGGGCACAATGAACAAAAGGCTGATGCTGAATCGGTTTTGCTGTGTTTGATGATGCTTGCTATCATGTGTGGCAGACTTCTCCCTGCCGCGCACAACCGCGCACTGCTGATTGATGCTGTCTTCTGCCGCCTGAGGGTGCGTTCTTGTTTCGTGGGCATCGCTTGGGACATCTGGTGCGCTGAATGAGGCCCTCAAAGGAGGCTGGCAGGGGCTCCCTCAGGGGCCTCCTTGGCCGCCAAGGGGTGTCCAAAGTGATTACTGGGGGCTTCTTGAGCCGTCAAGGGGGCGCCTGGGATTGCTTGCATAACCTTCTTGGACCGTCCTGGCATGTCCCTTGGGACGCCGTGGGCCTTATTCGAGACTACCTTAGGCTCTGTTGGGAGCCGCTGCACGTCCAGCCAGCCAGGCCGTGTTGGGCTATCCTCGGGGCTCTCCTGGACTGTGTTGGAGCCCTTTTTGGGGTCCCCGTGGGGCAGGAAGCCATTAGAAATGAGCTGGTGTTGCCTGAGGGAAAAAACAAACAGCCAAAGAACTGTAGTGCAGGCCCCCAGTAGGGAGTTCGAGCTTCCCGGTTGCGAGACAAGGCTCCACCTGCGAGCGTTTGCGCAAGTCGGACCTGGGCCCGACGTCTTGCTGCCAAAAAGTCCAGCGGCGAGCGGCGAGCTGGTACGCGCAGCACGGCGACCTCTCTTGTACATCCCAAGCCTGTTGCACAGCCCAGCGATGGAGCTGTGCATGCCACCACTCTGCTGCCCCCCCCCCAGAGGAACGCAAGAATATGGCAACAGCTGCGCACCGGACAGCACCCAGGGCAGGCGATGTCCAGCATTGGCACCGTTGCTTGCAGCACGGGTGACACAGTCAAACCCAGGCCAAACCAAACCAACCCATCCAACCTCGAAAGCCAGCCGCAGTTCATCCCGTAGACCAAGCCCTATCCAATCAAAACGAGCCCACCACCCTACGAACCAAAACCAACCCAGCTCGATTCAAAGTCTACCCAACCAACTCCATCCGCCCGGTCTTCTAATGATCCAAGTTTCGGGTCGTCCGTCCGTCCGCCGTCCATCCATCTGTCCGATGCGCGGCTGTCCTTCCCTGCGTCCGCCGAGCCCGCGCACCCCCCAGGTCGCAGGTCCTACTATTGCTACGAGGGACCTCGATGTGAGCAAGAATGAAGTGTCCTCGAGACGAGTTGGGGCTCTCTGTTTGTCTGCCGGGCGGTACAGAAGGGAGCCAACACAGCAGCTGGCATTTCCCAATTCTGCCACGCACGTCGAACTAGAGAAAAGAGACCAGATCATTTTGCGTCGCAGCGCGGCAGATGCAGTCCGCACGCGCGCTCGAGCGGCCCAGGCATCGGAGAGCGCGAATCAACGGCGGCAGGGGGAGGAACAAAGAAGCGGAGCTCCAGGAGGAGGAATTGGAAGGCGTGGGGAGGAGAAACACGAAGGGGGCAAGCTTGAGGCAAATTGGCGGCAGGAGGAGGGAGAGCGCTCACGTGGTGGGTGCCGCCGCGGCGGAGCGGCCAGGCCGGCCAGCCAGTGCTGCACCCCTGGCAGCGGGCGCGGGGCGGCGCGGACGGGCACACGTGTTTCGTAGGGGGCGAACAATGGCACAGACATAAGGACTCGGAGGTCCGCGCGGACTTTTTGGATCCGCACTGGAACCCCCTTCTCCTTGGCGCGAGGAGCGGGGGCGCTGCCAAGGGGAGGGCCCCAGCGCCTATCCGAGAATTCCGCGCGGACCTCCGAGTTGTTACGTTTACGTCATCGTTTGCCCCCCAATCTTAAGGGGGGGGGGCCGGGGACGTATTGAGATAAGAGGAGGCGCCGTGAAATCTAGAGGGAGATATCATGGCCCACGCCATGATATCCCCCCCCTAGTCATCCCCCCCCCCCTTGGCTGCCCCCCAAGGTGTTAGGTCCGCGCGGCCTTCTCGAGCCGGCGCACGACGCTGCTGGAACCCCCCTCCCCCTGGGCGCGGAGAGAGCGCGGGGGCGGCGGCGGTGGGAGGAGGCGCCGCCCCGGGGGGAGAGGGCCCAGCGCCGACCCCCGAGGGGCATCTCCGCGCGGGGCCTCCGAGCAGGGCACGGCAGGCTCGATGCCGAGTTCGACCCCGGCGCTGGTCTCTCTTAAGGCGGCGAGCAGGGCCCCCGTCCGCGGCGCCCGGGGCGCCCTGCACGGGGGCACAGCCAAGCGTGGACATGGGCGTTCCACGTGCCCCCGGTTGCTGTGCCCCCACCTTCCGCCACGCGCAGAGGGGGTATGGGTGAGGGGGGGAGGCTTCTCAGAGGCACCCCTGCTGCTCAGAAGGCGCGGGGTGCTTCTTAAGGAGAAGGGGGGGTTCTAAGAAGCCTTCCCCCCTCCCCCATACCCCCCTCTGCTCGCCGCCAATCTCTGACACCGCGCGGACCGTCCAAGCTCGCACGATCGGCAGCCCTTCTGAGGGGCAAGAATGGCGGGGGGACTGGCACAGGGCGGGGGGGAAAACATCGGCGCGATGCATCGCCGACGGATCGGCGAAAGGCCAGCGACAGCAAATCCGCACGCTCCAGGGCGGGGGTGGAGCTATCCGACCCCTCCCGGCGATCAGCGGGCGAGTGGGGGTACCTCCCTCCACGCCCTTGCGGCCGGGATTCTGGGGCGCGATCCCGCGGACACGCGCTCGCACGGTCACGTTCCGCGCGGGGCGTCCGCGAACAAGCAGCTCCGTATCCGCGGCCTGGGGGCCCACCCCACGAGGCTGCGGATACGGACATGCTTGTCGCCAACGAGCCACCCTCCGCGGCGCCACCCCTGCCCCAGGCATCCTGCTGGGCCAGAATCTCGCCCGCGGCGTGCGCGCGCCAGGTCCCCGCAGCCGCCAGCGGGGCGCAGCCCTCGCGGCCGCCGCCGACCAGGCGAGCCAGGGCCGCCAGCAGCTCCTGCGCCGACGACGACGTCTGCGGCCGCGGCGGCGGCGGCGGCGGCGACGACGACGGCTACGGCGGCGGCGACGACGGCGGCGGCGACGACGGCGGCGACTGCGGCGGCGAAGATGACGACCACAAGAGGGGAAGAGGACGGCGACGACGTCGAGGACGACGTCGAGGACGACGTCGAGGACGAGGACGACGACGTTCACGACGATTTACTGGCCAGCTGGTTGGCCGAGGACGACGACGACGTTTGCGACGGCGGCGACGTGGCGGGGGCACGGTCGTTCCAGCGTCCAAGGAGCGTCGGGAGGGGGCAGGAGGGATTGCCCCCCTTACCCCCCCGCTCCTCTTCCTTCTCATTCCACTTCGTCTACCCGTCTTCCGCATTCTCCCACCGTCCTCGTAGTGATCATGATTTCTCATGCTCCTCCTCCCCTTCGTACTCCTATCGACGCTACGCTTAAGTCGGGTCTGTCCCCCCCACAGGCCGATTTTAACAGAAAACTTTAACATTGTCCAAAAATCACTAAAATACTCAAAAATGGTCAAATAAAATCGCCCCCAGACTACGTTTTACTATTTTTGAAGATTCCTCCTGCAGAGGGGCGGGCCCGACGTGACGCTGCGCCTCCTGCCCATGCGGCCGCTGCGCGGCCCCAGGGATCACCTCCTGCGCCAACTCAGCGCCCGAGACCACTCGGCTGGAGAAGGGGCCGCCGACCGGGCTCGGCTCTCGCAGCCGAGCCCTCTTTCGGCGGCCGAGGGAGCAGATCACAGTGGGGTGAACGCGCAGCCCCAGGAGGACGCCGACGAGACGACACGGCGGATGAGCAGATGGGCCGACGACGCAAAGAGCCACGAATGATGAGCGGGTCCGCATCGTTTACCTCCCTCTCGTCTCTCTCACTATCTCTCAATATCGTCTCTCTCTCTCACACTCTCGATCTCTCTCTCTCTGCCATTTTTTTCTCGCTGTCTCTCGTTCTCTCTCGTCTATCTCTGCCTCTATCAGCCATCCTCCATCTCTCTCTCTCTCTCTCTGTTTCTCGATGCCGCTTTCTACATATCGTCTCTCTCTCTCTTTATGTATGGCTCGATACGCGCTTGGCAGATCCCTGCATACGAATGTATGCGTACAAATACACATACACATCGTGTATACAAACATTCCCGATCCTCTCTCTCTCTCTCTTCGTCGTCGTCGTCCTCTCTGGTATGTGGGTCCTCTCTCTCTTTCTCTCTCTCTCTCTCTTTCTCAAGCGAGACAGTCGTAGAATTGCACAGAGGGCAACGGCGCCAACCCCCCATCCGAATCCATGCGGGACCGGTGAGCAGCAGCAGGCGCAGGGACAGGCCCCACGGGTGCCCCGCTGGCAACGAGGAAGAGAGGCCCGCGTCTGCGGCAGGTCCCCGGTGCCAAACTCAGAGAGACGGCGGCGCGCCCTTGGCCGAGCCACCGACGGCGGCGGCGGCGGCTCCGACGACGAGGGGGGGGCAAACGTCGACGAGGAAGGGGAAGCGGGAGGGGGGGGAGGAGAGGAGGCGGAGAGCGTCGAGGCGAGGGAGAGGAGCGCAGGAGAGAACCGGGGTGGAGGTACGAGGAAGGAGGCGGCGGAGAGGAGGGGCCGAGACAACGGGGGAGGGGAGGGGGAGGCGGCGGAGAGGCGGGGAGGGCTGGGGCGAGGGCGGAGGGCGTCGACCAGGGAGGGGGGGCGTCGGCAGGGGAGGAGAGGCGGAGGGCGGCGCGGAGGAGCAGCGCGCGCCGCCGGGGGGCGCCGAGGAGGATCCGGGGGGGGGGCGAGGCGCGAGGCCCCGGCGCCGTGGCCTCCTCGCAGGAAAGGGCCCCCCCGGAGGTCGGGGCCGCCGCAGGCTTGCCTCCGGACTGCTTTTGCTCCTGGGTCACGGGGGTGTCCGAGGCCTGGTGTGCCCTCCCCGTGCTTCCCATGCCTGTTTAAAACAGGGCCAGGATCGGGATAAGTCGCTCCAGAGCGTTCCGGAGCGCTCTCAGAGCGTTCCGGAACGCTCTGGAGCGGCCGCGGCGCCCAATACATCCTCCAAACACGCCGGTTCTCAGAGAATTCGAGTTAGCCCGATCCGATTCTGTCCCGATCTTCGCGTCGTTTGACTGATGTGCCCTCCCCTTCCTCCCCTCCCTTCCCCCTCCTGGTGGCACCCCGGCTCCGGCAGCGGTTCTGTGGCGTTGTCTGCCCACGCGCCCTGCATGGATGCGCGGCTTTCTTGGCCTTGGCACTGGCCCCAGGACCCAGGGCTGTGTCGGGACCCCAAGAGGCCGAGGCTTGCCACAAAGCTCTGCGAGGAAGCAAGGAGTGTCGGACGAAAAATGGGGAGGTCGGTGGGCGAGTCCAAAGGTGGTTACAGAGTCAACTCACGTGTCTGGCTCTCCCAGCACCTCCTGGAGCCGGAGGAGCCGATGTATCTAGGCATGCGCAAGGCTGTGGGGCTGCCTCCCCTCCCCTCTTTGGAGGACAAGACAGCGGGGACCACGACCAAGACTGAACGCGGGGACGTCGTGTCGATCTTGTGATCAGCATCACAAGTACCCCTAATCCTTCGGGAGGGGACCTAAGCTAGGAGGACCAGTAACATTAGTGATAGTGGGACTTTGCTGCAGATGTATCGAACCAAGCCGCCCAGATTTCTTATCCCTAGTGCAAAAACAGGACCTAGGTGAGGCCACGCCTTCACTGTATCGTTAGGGTGAGGGGCTCTTTTCTTCTCGATGGTCTTGGTCAGCGCCGATTCGCGAATCGGCGGCGGCGGCATGGACCATGACCAACGTCACTCTCCCTCACTCACAAGCCATACGCCGTCCGGCGCGTGGGCAGGAACACAGTCTCAAGCAGCGACGCGAAATTGAGGGTGAAACGCTGCGCAGGCTAAGTGGATCAAGACAAGGAGGAGGAGGAGGAGGAGGAGGAGGGCGACGAGGAGGAGGAGGACGAGAAGGAGGAGGAGGAGGAGGAGGAGGGTGAGGAGGAGGAGGGGGGGCAACCGACCAAATCCCGCGAGGTCTCGGTCATGGCAAACGGGCTTCTCCGCTCGACGCCCGCCGCCGCAGCCCCGGGGACATGGTTGGCCCAGGTCCGCCACCGCTCGGCCACACACGCCCCTTCCGCGCACACACGTGTCTCGGTCCCGCGCGAGTGCTGTTTCTTCAGCGGCACCTCGGCCAGAATCGGAGCAGGTGGGGTCGGAGCATCGCGCCGCATCGCCGCTGCCTTTGGGGAAACCGAAAGGTACAGATACCGCTACTCCCCGGACCTCTCCCGGGGTGCATTCTGACCCGGATCTCGTGGCGAATCTAGCGGTGGCGACGCGGGCCGCCCAGCAGGCCAAAAAAGAGGGACATGAGAGATGGGTAGAGGTGTGGGTACCGCTTCCTCCTCTGGGCATTGGCGATGTTATCGGTGATGCATCAGCCCAGTCGGCGATGCACAGCGGCGCCGTCGGCGCGGATCGAGTCGGGCAGCCGCAGCGAGCCGCAGCGCCGATGCATCGGCGGTGCGGCGCGGTCCTCCGACTCCCCGCCCGCTCGGACCCCACCTTGGGAGGGCTGGGGTGTGCTGCTCGATGGCCCTCGCCGAGACCAACGGGGCACACCGTCTAAGGGTGCGCTCTGCATAGGATTTCGAGCCGAAGCCAGCGGTGGCGACGAGGGCCTCCCAGTAGGCCGAACAAGGGGAAACCGATGGAAGGGTAGCGGGCGAAGCCAGCGGTAGTGACAAGGGCCTCCCCAGGAGGCCCAAAGAAGGGGGAATCGAGGGAAGGGTAGCGGTATGGGTACCTTCTCCTCTTCCGATCGATCTGTGGTCCTCGCCGAAGACAACATGCACACGTCCGAGCGATGCCAAGTTCGAGTAGGGGATAGACTACATAATTGATTTACCCTACAAGTGAATTGTTCGTCGAATCCATAAGAACTGCGTCGAATGCTCGTCGATCTACGAACCTTCTACGTAGGCCTCGACGAGCAAATCAATTCTGGAGTAAATCAATTCTGTAATCGATCACCTGCTCGATTCGGGGATTTACTGACCCGGGTCAATCCAGACCCGGGTCAGTCAGGCTTTGCAGGATCCTGCAAGACAAGACCCTGCACCAGAGCCCGGACCAGTGCGCCTGCCTCCGCAGGATCCTGCAAGCTCCGGCGCTCTGGCTGACCCCCGCCTGTACTGACCCCCGCCGTTTGAGCCCCTGCTCGGCCATTGGGCGTTGCGTAATGGAGGGGTCATAAATAGGGGGGTGGCGAGGGTGGTCCGAAAAGGTACCCAAACGGTAATTACCTAAACGAGCCCCTTGGGACTCCAGAGGGGCCCGAAAGGGGCACGAAAAGGGACCGTTTCTGACCCCCCCAGTTGTGACCCCCCCATTAAGCCACGCCCAAGGCCAGTGGGGAGCTGCGGCCCCGGGGAGCGGCGGCGGCGGCGGCGGCCGCGGAGGAAGAGTCGCGCGCGCGCGGCGGCGCCCGCGCGCCGGGGCCGAGGACGGCGCGAGGGCGTGCCGCGAGGGCGGGCGAGAGCGGAGGCGGGCTCCCCGAGGGCGGCGGGCCCCGGGGGCCCTGGGGCCTCGGACGGAGCCCCAGACACCGCACGTCTCGGTGTTCGTCAAATCTTGTCGGAGGAGCGTTTTAAAAAATTATGTATAGATTTCGTCGCCCGAGGACGAAGCCCCAGACATCGGACGTCTCGGTGCTTGTCAAATCTTTTCGGAGGAGCGTTTTAAACAGTTATTTGTGTACCGTTTTTTCCTAAGTTTTGCATCAGGCCAGAGGCGGAGGTTTCCATGGTTTTCGGCCTCTGGGGGCCCTCCCTGGGCCCTGGGGCCGTCACAAAACGACTCGGGATGGAAAAAAACGGTCCCAGGGAAGTGGTCGGGGGGGGGGGGGGGCCGGGGGCCCGTACGCCACGCACATCATATAAACACAGGCACCCTCCCATCAAGCGTGCATAGTGCCTTCAGGGAGGGCGGGAGTTCACAAATCAATGTGCTCCCAGTGGTGATTTATACACCGCCGCCCTCCCCCGAGGCCCACGAACGATCCCTCGGAGGGTGTCTGTGTATTTTTTTGTCGTGGCGGACCTGGAACCCTAAGGTCACACGAAGCCAGGGCTGAACGTCGTTTCACCGACCCCTATCCTAAGACGAAGCCAGGACGAGGATAAAATTGGGGGGGATAAGGTCGAGAATCTCTGAGATCCGGAGGCTCCAGAGGATGTCTCGGGCGCCGCGGCCTTCTCAGAGCGTCCCGGAACGCTCTGAGAGCGTTCCAGAACGCTCTAGAACGGATATATTCTACCCGCCCGAGACGAAGCCTAGACTGAACATCGTTTCACCGATCTCTATCCCCATGGGCGTGGCCTGGGCCCGACTGGCCGACTTGCCCCCCGTAGATGGGGACATAAGCCGTCTCCTCCGGGTTTCAAGGGGTATTCCTCCAACTGGGGTGCTGAGATGGTAGGAGTCTGGGTGGGGATGGGGATGGGGATATGGGTCGGCGAAGCGATACTGAGTCAGACGAAGCCAGGACAGGGACAAAGCTGAACAGGCATGAATCAGAAACCTCTGAGGTCTGGCGGCTCTGAGGGAAAGGGTCGGGCGCCGCGGCCTTCTCAAAGCGCTCCGGAACGATCTGGGACGATCTATCCTCGTCCTCGCCACGCCCGGTGGTAGTGGGCTTCCCAGGACTGCGGGCTGGGCCGGCCCCTCATGCCCGAGCCGGTTTCTGGACGGCCCCGGGGCCCAGAACAAGGGCCCCAGAGGCAGATCGGGCGTGGCTCGATGGGGGGGGGTCACAACTGGGGGGGTCAGAAACGGTCCCCTTTCGTGCCCCTTTCGGGCCCCTCTGGAGCCCCAGGGGGCTCGTTTCGGTACCGTTTGGGTACCTTTTCGGGCCACCCTCGCCACCCCCCCATTTATGAACCCCCCGTTACGCGGCGCCTAGAGGCAGAAGGTGGCGAAGGACCGCCGGGCCCCCCTCCCTCGAGGCCCGCCCTTGTGCCACGGGAAGAGGCGGGGCCCTGGGCCCGCCGTGCCGGGGTGTGCCTCGGCCAGCACTTCCGCAGGGATGGACAGACCCCCTTTAGTGAAACGTGGTTTAGTGAAAACGACCCGAGGCCCAAACCTGGCGGGCGCAAGCCTGGAAAATAACGGCCACGGCGCCATCTCGAGACCCGAAAACGGACAATTCACTAATCGACGTGTCACTGTTGGGGGTTCTGTCCCCCCCCGACACTTCCGCAGGGACTCGGACCGAAAAAGGTGCGCCCAAAACTGGCGCGATGCCCAACCGCAATGTTGTCCAAAACCGACTGCGGCCGCGAGTGGACAGGCGACTTTCTGTTTTTCTGTTTCTAATGACCACGTCCGATGCGACACCGACAGCGGGTCCTGTCCAACGTGGACAAGACATGCTATGGGTCTTCGCCGCCACCCTCCAGATCCACGGCTCCACACCAAAACCAAAGCAAACCATCTCGACCACCGAGTTTCGAACTGCTTTTGGCCGGCGGCGCAACTCGCCAATCTTGCGGCCTGGAGCGACTCAGCACCGGCCGAGTCTTGAACCGAACTCTGCTCAGAATCCCAGGCGTCCTCCGACATGCTCCTGCCAATCTGCGGCCCCAGGGCCCCGGGGGTGTTTCACACCGCATCCACTTTTCGGCGGCGAGCGAGGGGGGAAGTGAGGAGGAGAAGACCTTCTCAGCCGGCGGCGGGACTTCTCAGAAGCCCTCGCGCCTCCTGAGGAGCTCTCTCCGCCTTCGGGGAAGGCTTGGAACGCTTCTCCAAGGCCGAGGGCCTTCCGAACCTTCTGAGATGGCCCCACCCTCCTCGCTCACTTCCCCCCCCGCTCGCCGCCGAATGCTGGACAATCCCGCGGCCACAGGGGCCGGCCCCGAGAGCAGGCGCGCCTGGACTCGGCAGGTCGAGCCGCGGCGCCGCAGAGCGGTCGGCGGCGGCTCGGCCCGACGTGCGCCCGCGCGGCGGCACGGCCGCCGCGCCGAAGCGCTCGTGGGATCTGATGCGTCGTCGGCGTCGTTCGTCGATAAGCGAGCATGATGCGTCGTCGACGTCGTCGTCGTCGGTCGTCCACGTTGTCGGCCTACAGAAGCCGTTGTCGGGCCCCGAGCCCCTCAAAAAATGATCCGTGGTGAAGAGACTGCCCCAGATGGACCCCTGGGGGGTTGCGGGACCGATTCAGAGCGGATTTCCATCAACCTGCCGCTGCTCCCCAGACCTCTCCCAGGATGCGCTCTGACCAGAATTTCGAGGCGAGCCCAGCGGTGGCGACGAGGGCCTCCCAAGAGGCCGAAGAAGGGGAGCACAGGCGAAGGGTAGCGGTGTCTCGGCATCTTTTTCTGCTGTGCAATAGAAGTACCCCATGTGGGAGGGGGCCCTAAGTAAGGAGGGCCAACAACATCAGCGATAGGGGGTCTCAGACCAAACGGCCCAGATTATTTTTTTGAATGCGATGGCGGGGCCCTAAGCCAGGCTACGTCTTCATCGCATCATCAGGGTCAGGGGCTTGTTCTCGATGAGTTTCCCCCTCTGGCTCACGAAGGCCAAGAGAGCCACCACCACCACGAGTCCACAGAGCTCCGTTCCCCATGGCCCCCTCCGCCGAGCTGGTGGCGCTCCGTTTCGGGCACTCCCCGGGGCCCGCGCCCGGAACAGGGGGTGCCACCAGCTCGGGGGGTGGAACGGCCAGCCCCACTGGCCGGAGACGTGGTGGCTCTGCCACCCCCGGTGACTGCCGCTCGCCACGGGCGGCGCTCCCCGTCTGAGGGCCAGGTCTGAAGCGCCGGCGACAGCGGCGAAAGCTCACGCGTGCCCCTCGCAGCAAAAACTGCATCACCAGGGGAACCAAAAGGTACCGACAGCGCTGCGCCCTGGACCTCTCCCGGGGCGTGTCCTGACCAGGATGTCGAGGCGAGTCCAGCGGCGGCGACGAGGGCCCCCCAGGAGGCCCAAAAAGGGGAGAACGAGGGAAGGGTAGCGGTATTCGGGAGCGGCCAAGAGGGGGGTGTCCAAGAGGGGGGGGTGCAAATCATGGCCGGCGGCATGTGCGCGGCCCAGCGGGGGGGCCGGGACCGTAATGAAATAGGAAGAGGCGCCATGAGATCTGGGGAAATATCATGGCCCCCGCCATGATGTCCACACCCCCCTATAGTCATCACCCCCCTCTTTTCCGCCCCCGAGGCATGGGCACCCTCTCGTCCCCTGAGAGCACCACTCGCCCCAAAAAACGGCACCACACCGTGCGGATCTCAGGCTC